TTTTTTTTTTTTTTTTTATTTCTTTTTCTCTCTCTCTCTTACTTTATTTATATTTGTATTAGGAGGAGGAAGACAGTTGTTGTTTATATATTTTTTTGCTGTTTCTCTCGCCGCCTCAGCCAGTGTATCGTCAGCTCTGAGGGGAGAAGCCCAGGTGTCTAGACGGGCTGTACGAATCTTGTTCAGGGTTTGTAAACAATCTATACACAAAATATATTTTTATTTTATTTTATTTTATTTTATTTTATTTTATTTTATTATATTTTATATTATATTATTTTTATATTATATTGTTTTTTTTTAATTATAATATGTGAAAAAATTAAGTTAAATTGAAATACAAGAAATACAAAGAAAGATAAAAACAGAAATAAATAAATACAAATAAAAAAATAAATAAATAAATATAAATAAAAACATAAATAAATACAAATAAAAACAAATAAATACAAATTATGATGAGGCAGAGAAAACACAACAAAAGGCAAGCCAACACGAGAAAGAGAAAAAAAAAATAAAAATAAATAAAAATAAATAAATAAGAGACAGAAACGGAGGGAAACACCACCAGCAACAACAGACAGAAGAAAGAGATGAAGATACACCCCAGCACCACAAACACAATAAAAAAAAACGAGACAAACATAAAAACAGCAGCAAAGGAAAGAAAAATAAAAAAATATTTTATTGTCTGTCGCATGCATGCATGCATGCATGCATGCATGCAGTGTATCTTTTTTTTTTTTTATTGTGTTGGTGTCTCACGAGCTGTGATTTCTTCTACATGAGGGGGGCCAGAGGGTGCTGCTGCTGCTGCTGCTGCTGGTGCTGCTGCTGCTGCTGCTGCTTCTGGATGTGTGTGTGGCGTAATAGTCTGCATGCGCGGGGGCTGGTGAGGCCCTGCTGTTGTTGTCTCTGTAGATGACTCTGCTGCAGTGTTTGATTGCTGCTGCTGCTGCTGCTGCTGCTGCTGCTGCTGCTCAGCTGCTGTTTCTGCTGCTGTAGCTGCTGCCTGCTTCGACTCGCCTGCTGACTCTGCGGCCTCTGCAGCACTTTCAGCAGCTGTTGCTTGCTGCTGCTGCTGCTGCTGCTGCTGCTGCTGCTGCTTGGCTGCTTCTGTGTTGCTGCTTGCTGCTTCTTTCTCTGAAGCAGAAGAGCTCACAGCAGCAGACTCTCCCGCGCCTGCTGCAGTCTCGGCCTCGCTGCTGGAAGCCTCAGCAGCGGCCTGCTGCTGCTGCTGCTGCTGCTGCTGCTGCTGCGGTTTCTGTTCTGTTTGTTGTCGTTCAGACTGTGATGCCTCTTCTTCGTCTCCTTCTTTGCTGGAGGCTGATTCTGCCTCCTCTGTGTTGCTGCTGCTTTCTTCTGAGGGTGTTGCTGCAGCAGCGGTGCTGCTGAGCTCAAGGAGCGAACCGGTGGTCTGTTGCAGCGGCAGGAAGATAGATCTGCCTTCTGCTGCAGCTGACCAGTGGACCACTGCAGCCATGGCTGCTGAAAACAGCAAAATTCCCTCGGATTTCATTTTTTTTGGGTTTTTATAAAAGGCAAGAAACTGCACAAAGGCGGCTCGCGACCCCCCCGGCTGACGACGAAAGCGGAGTAAATGAGCCAAAAAGGAGGTGGTTTCAGAGTTTAAATTAAAGATCTTTTGATTAAAAAGAATAAAAAGAAGTTTTTGCGGTTTTTTATTGGGTTTTAACTCGGTTTTATTGCTCCTTTTGCCTCAGTTTCATCACTGCGGTAGTCGACAAGCCAATGTTGAATGCGGGCAGCCGCTATAGAACCGCTGCGGTGTCTGTACAGCTTCGATATCTTTGAGTCTTCGGCCATTGTTTACGGTTTATAAATAAAATAAATTAAATATTTTAATATATTCTTTAATAAAATACAAATTTATTTCTGTTTTCTCTTTATTAAACTCTTATATACATAAATTCAACACCCTCCCTGCCCGGTGCCCGTCGGCCCTGCTGAGAGAGTGAGGACCTTCCGTGCACAACACGGGGTGTATAGGCAGCTTTTTTTTGTGTAAAAAACATTTTAAAAATAAAAATAAAATAATTTTTATTTTAAAAATATTAAATTAAAGAGAAAAACACATAAAATTTGCATTTATTTTCGCTCTCTTCTCCCCGCCGGTCTACACAAAGAAATAGATGAAAATAATTTATATAAACTTCTTTCTATCTACCCTTCACTAACACAAAATTATAATACAAAAAAATTCAAAATATTCAATTTGCTTCGTTTTCTTAGATTACAGGGGGCAGGCCACAAACCCTCAGTGGTAGAGATAAGATACATATGCATACGGAGTTTATGTATATTGTATATTGTTTGTGTGTGCTTATATATATAGATAACGTGCATATATATATAATATATATATATATATATATATATAT